GTGACCATATCAATAACATAAAACAAAAATAAAATACAGGGTACTAAGTCCAATATAAAAGAAATAAAATAAAAGAGATAAAAATAGATAAAAGGAAAATGCAGTAATAAAATGGGTACGTGGTAAATACAAAGAATCAGCATTCAGGCAAATAATCTAGAGATTCTTAGAGCTGGGATGGTCTGCTTGGCAGGTCAAAGGTCTCAAATTCAATCTCAGGCATGCTGTGATGAGAGCCGCCTGCTTGAAACTCTAAACTAGAATTTAGAATTCCAAACAGACTTTTCTGGTTAGGAAAGAGACGAGACTATACCATTTATAGCTGAGGTCTTCAAACTTGGCAGCTTTAAGATTTGTGGACTTCAACTCCCAGAATTCTCTGGGAGTTGAAGTCCACAAGAGAATTCCGGGAGTTGAAGTCCACAAGTCTTAAAGCTGCCAAGTTTGAAGACCTCTGATTTATAGGAAGGCCAGTCCTGGACTAAATGTAGTTGACCGATGGCAACACAAATCCCATCGGATTTCTCTTTTATGAACTACCAAACCTTAAGCGGAAATCTTACAGCAAAGGGGCCCAAAGACATTCGGAGCTGCAGAATTAGCGAGCTTCGTTCTAAAATGGATTAACAACACATCTGCACACATTCGCTCTATTATAAGCCTGATAACATCACTTACATATTTAGACACTGTTTATGCCAGAGGCTCTCCCAGTTGGCCTGCACACAATGGGGCTAATCAAGTTTGCCAGATTTTGATCCGCCAGCACCTGGCTGCTCCTTCATCGGCGCCTGGCGGAGCCACCAATGGCCGCGCGGGTCCCTGCCTTCAAAGCAAGGCGAGGATGTCAATTTTTCAATCAACAGAGGCTGGTTATAAAGCAATAAGCGTTGCGGCTGACACATTGCCCGTTAACGTACGAGATGTACACAAGAGATAGGGGATGGGACTGCAGCTGCCAAATTGGACCGGGTGCCTAAGGCCGCGGAGGAAAGGGAGGAGAGCAAGACCAGACACTCAAAACTATCATCTTCCTAGCAAATTAGCCTTTGAGTAGCTCCAGGACGGCCGTGATATTTTACAGCAGAGCAGATCGATCAATAGAGGCTTAAAAAAAAGAAAAGAAAAGAAGGGAGTTGCTAAAATGTAGACAATGCTACAGGTAGGCCTTGTCTTGCAACCCTTCATTTAATGACCCTTTGAAGTTACAAGAGCTTGAAAAAAGGGACTTAGTAAGGTAGGATAGGATAGGATAGGATAGGATAGGATAGGATAGGAGAGGAGAGGAGAGGAGAGGAGAGGAGAGGAGAGGAGAGGAGAGGAGAGGAGGGGAGAGGATAACAGCAGGAAGGGACCTTGGAGGTTTAACAGATTCAAAGAGTTGGAAGGGACCTTATAGGTCATCTAGTCCAACCCCCCGCTCAAGCAGGAGATCCTATACCATTTCTGACAAATGGCAGTCCAATCTCTTCTTGAAAGTCTCACGTGATGTAACTCCCACAACTTCCAAAGGCAACTTCTGTTCCATGGGTTGATTGCTCTCATTGGCAGAAAATTTCTCCTTATTTCCATGTTAAATCTCTCCTTGGTTAGTTTCCATCCATTAGACCTTGTCTGGCCTTCAGGTGCCTTGGAAAATAGCTTGACCCCGCTCCTCTCTTCAAATATTGGAAGACTGCTATCATGTCTCCCCTGATCCTTCTCTTCACTAGACTAGCCATGCCCAGTTCCTGCAACCATTCATCGTATGTTTTAGCCTCCAGTCCCCTCATCATCTTGGTTGCTCTTCTCTGCACTTTTTCTAGAGTCTCAACATCTTTTTTATAGTGTGGTGACCAAAACTGGATGCAGTACTCTAGGTGTGGTCCAGGCAGTCGTGGGTTGCTCCCGGTTCGCAAGAACCGGTAGTAAAAATTTATAGTAGTTCGGAGAACTGGTAATAACATTGGCTGGCCACGCCACCAAACCGGTCCCCGGCCCGATTGCCACTCGCTTACCCCGCCCATCTCATCAGAGGCTTTTTGTTTTTTTTACTTTTAAGAGCATTTTTTTCTACAACCTCTTTGGCCGAAAAAATGCTTTTAAAAGTAAAAAAAAAAAGCCTCTGATGATCGCGCGGCACAGATGGGATCGTCAGAGGCTTTTAAAAGCATTTTTTCTACCCCCTCTTCAGCCGAAAAGGTTGTAAGGAAAAAAAAATGCCTTTAAAAGCCTCTGGCGATCCCAGCTGAGTTGCCCGATAGTCAGAGGTTTCTAAAAGCATTTTTTTCTGCAACCTCTTAAGGTTGTAGAAAAAATGCTTTTGTTGGCCATGCCCATCCAGTCACATTACCCCCACCAAGCCACGCCCACAAAATAAGCCACGCCCACAGAACCGGTAGTAAAAAACTTTAGAACCCACCCCTGAGTCCAGCAGTGGGTTCTACTTACTTTTACTACCGGTTTGCAACGCGCGCAGATCACCCATGATGACATTGTGGCGGGTGGGCAGTGCCTCCCGCTGGTTTTACTACCAGTTCTATAGAACCAGACCGAACTGGGAGCAACCTACCACTGGTGTGGTCTTACTAAGGCTTTACAGAGTGGTATTAATAGCTCACTTGATTCTTGGGTTAGGTCAATTCCATATGTGGGGAGTTGTGTTAAAGCAGTCTTTCTTAACCTTGGCAACTTTAAAGTGCGGACTTCTACTCCCGGAGTTCTGAGTTTTGGAAATCACATACAGGTAGTCCTCGATTTACAACAGTTTGTTTAGTGACCGTTCAAAGTTACAACGGCACTGAAAAAAAGTGACTTATGACTGTTTTTCACACTATGTCCGTTGCAGCATCCCCAGGGTCACGTGATTTCCATTCGGATGCTTGACAACTGATTCACATTTATGACGGTTGCAGAGTCCCGGGGTTACGTGCAGAGGTGGGATTCACTTACCTTCCCGACCGGTTTGGAAATGGGAGGGCGCATGTGTGCGCTCGCTTTCACATCCTCTGCACATGTTCCATTCAGTTGCCCAGACTTATCCCTGCAAGGGATTGTGGGGTTGTTAAAAGAAAATGATTTGATCTCTTTGCAGTCCAAGGGACTCTCAAGAGTCTTCTCCAGCATCACAATAGTGCCTAGGAAATACCCTGTGTTTTCCCGAAAATAAAATCGGATCTTATTTTCTTTGGGACCCCAAAATAAGCACTATGTTGTGGCCCGCAAGTGGCCTGCGTGGATTGTGGCTGATCCCGATGAGGAGGAGGCTGGTGTGGTGTCGTGCCAGCAGCCTGTGCAGCCGGTGCTCGAGTCGGACAGCGAGGAGGCTGAAGAGGATGTGGTGCCAGAGACAGAGACTCAGCCAGGGCCTTCAGAACCTCCAGAGGCTCCTTCAAGTGAAGAGAGTGAAGTGGAGGAGCCTCTTCTCAATGCTCGAGCACGCAGGGCTGCCAAAAGGCAGGAGTGGCTACTCAGCAGGAGGTCTCCTCGAGAGTAAGGCTTGGGGTTAATTGGCCACTCCCTTAGCCTATTTAAGTTCGCATACAAATAGCAAATGTTGCTGGAAACGACGTTTGGTCCTATGCAGAGCATTTTGAGAGTGAGTTTTTTGTTACAACTTGGTTTCTGGGCTGATTGCCAACCTTTGTCGGACTTTGTTTAATCTCTGTAATTCATAGCAGGCTGATAAGGACATTTGTGGTTAAAGCCTGCATTTTGAAAGGGGTCTGTTTGTATTAAATTGAGTTTTTGGAGCTGTGTGTGTGTGCTACACTTCTTGGGACCCGTAGCTGGGGCAGAACACACTAGGGCTTATTTGGGGGGTGTCTTATTTTCCCATGTACAGGAGGCCCACTTCTTCGGCTTGCTCATGGTGGAGGCTGCGTAGTGCTGTTGACACAAGGCAAGGGGGTGGAGCTCCCCCACACGCCCTGCACTGGCTTACCTCAGGGCCCCCGCAGCCAGGCCATCCATGCCCCGACACCTGCCTCACCTCATGGCCATGGCATAAACACACCACTCAGCCTCCTGCTCCATTGTGGCTGTGAGCAAGCAAAGAAGTGGGCCAATAGTGATGTGGACTCCTGCTGCGCATGGCTGCTGGTATTGCAGCCGCAAGGCAAGTGTCAGGGCATGGATGGACTGGCTACATGGGCCCTAAAATAAGCCGGTGGAGGGGACAGATAGCGGTTCCACCACCCCTCTGCCTTGCCTCGTGGCCACAGCACCGCGAAGAACCAGATGGAATGGGCAGGTGGGTGGCTGCGTAGGATCTTAAGTAGGCTTTATTTTGGGGGTAGGACAGTGGTGGGATTCAGCCAGTTCGCACCAGTTTGGGAGAACCGGTTGTTAACTTTCTGAGCAGTTTGGTGAACTGGTTGTTGGAAGAAATCATTAGGGCAGAGAACCACTGGGGTAGGGCTTATATTAGGCACATTCGTAAAAACATGCTAGATCTTATTTTTGGGATAGGTCTTATTTTCGGGGAAACAGAGTAATTGACTGTTAGCCCAGATCTTTTCAATCTGGGACTGCATCTCAATCACCCTATTTTGCACCAATGTTTCAAACGTCTTGGGAATTCTCTCCCACCAAGATAAAAGCTTGGAAGGACTGAGATCCAAGAGACAAAACTAGGTCTCAGAGATGGTGTGATTGGCAAATGTTAATCCTTTACGACAGCTGATAAATTATACCCATTCCTTAATTTCAGACGCGGGGAGAAAAATCACGGATTTGAGTCTCCCAATGGATCTGTGCTTGATTGTGCCTCTGACACAATTTTGAATTCAAGATGGCAGAGCACAGCTGCAGATACGTTCTCTAGGGAGGGTTCGTTGACTCACATTTTATTTTGAGAAACCTTGTACTTTTTTTGGGTAACAAGTTTATATTATATTACCTGATGGAGGGAGAATCTGAAAGGCTTCCTTTCTGTTCCAGATTCTATCTGCTACTAAGGGAACGTATAATTAGAAATGATTTTAAAAAAATATCCCAACGAAAATAAGGACAGCCAGCAGTTGGATAAGAAAAGCCTTGAAAGCTATTTATTTGACAAGTTCAAATAATTTATGGTTTCAATTTGCCACAAGCACACCCAGAACAGGCCGAATTCTGTCCTGAATTTGTAACAGATTTTAAAACAAGGAAGGGCTTAACTCATTTAATGGTGTCACCTCAGATTTACAAGCGAAAGCTGACCCATTACATACCACATTAGGAGATAATGAAATCAACCACATTTTCTGGGAGAGGAAGCATTAAAGAGAATAACTTACACATACATACAACCGAGATGTTATCTTTTTAGTGCACTGCCTGCAAGAAACTCCAGTGGAATTCTAATATGAAGACTTTAACTTGTAAAAGGTAAGGCAATAAAACAAGAGGTGGCCTTACAACTTTCTGGGGAATATACTGTGTTTCCCCAAAAATAAGATCCTGTCTTATGTTTTTTTGGACCCCAAAATAAGCGTTTGGCCTTAGTTTCGAGGAGGTCTTATTATTTTGGGGCATGTGGAGCAAGACGGGACTCCTCTTGCCATCTTACCTGATTTCCAGCTCTGTCTCCCTAACCCTAATCAGAGGAAATGGCGGGGACCAGCTGCGCATGTGTTTAAATATTTTTGGGAGGGCTTATTTTTGGAGGGGGGAGGCTTATTTTAGCACTCAAAAGCCCGATTGGGCTTATTAAGAGCCAGGGAGGTCTTATTTTCGGGGAAACAGGGTACTTCCATGTGAATGTGCCATGACACATAAACACACCTCAGTGAAATCATTATTACTCCGTTAGGAAATTTACCTCTAAGTAGAAACTTATCATTTTTGAGGATTCTCGAACCGACGCTGTGTCTCTTCTTTGGATTTGGTGCAGCGGGAAAATGCCAAACCAGATAATCATTCAAGTGAGGAAGAGGACATGGAGAGGCTATGTTCCTAAAATGGAGCCACTTGGGAAGGTCACTCTGCGAGGAGCGATATTTATTATTAAAGAGGTCTTACCTGGGTCTTTTAAGACCTGGGTAGAAGAAATCCAGGGATTTTATAAAAGGGAGTTGAATGCCTCCGTTATCAGATAATCAGTACAACTAGAATGTTCAGCTGGGCGAGAGAAGAAATAAAGTGAAATGCAGATTTCCCCCCCCCCACCTGTGTGAAAATGGAATGCAGGCTGATTTTTCTTATTAAAAAAAACGCTACATGTAATCAAAATAGAGATTACAGATTGAAGCAAAAGCTTCGTATCCCGGGAGAATTTAAATGGGGGCACGTCCCAAAGGCCTTTGTGAACCCCGATTCTCACAAAGGGAAGCCTGCGTGTCAGCCAAGTGAAATAACAGGATAAGCATCTCTTGCTAAAAGGGGAGGGAAGGTGCATAATATAATATCCTCTTCGCCAAGGAGAATGCAGAATCAGGATTTCTGCTCTGTGGGTTCCCGAGACCGACAGCTATTTAATATTGGATGATACGAAGCAAATTTGCACTAAGCAAAGAAAGGCGGGAGAAAGATATCCCTTAAGTAAGCATCATTCATGCGAATGACTGCTAGCCTTTAATCTTGATTTTTTTCCCCCTCTATTGCCACAGATTGACTTCTGTACTTTTTTAAAAAAAATAATAATAATTCAGGCCTAAATCAACACCCTTAGAAGCCAGTGCAAATTTAGCATATGATCCCATTAGCCGTCGAAATACAATATTGATTTCTTTGCAAAAATAAAAATAAAAACAAAACAAAAATTAAACGATGTCTTCAGCCAAAGGAAAAGGGAACATCAAGAATGAATCCCTTTTGTGGAGGGTTTTTTTTGCGTTGGATGGAAGCAACTTTGTAAGAAATGGATGCTTTGTGTTCTTTGAAAGGAGCCATTAGAAAAAGGGGTTTCGGAGTTAAAATCTTTTGGTTAAAAGCAGCTGTTGGCTGGTGTGAACTGTCTGCAAAACGAATGATAATCACTCCTCTAACAATCCATGGGGCAAACCATGATCCCACAAAGGATTTTGCAAATGACAGTTTGTAGCAAGGGTAACCGATAGCAGCTAAAGGGAGCTGAAATGGGCTGTAATTATTTGAAATTCATTTCCTTGGCCAGCCACTCCTTCTAACTTCCATCTGTGCATTCCCGGCGGGCAAATGTCATTGCCTAAATCAAAAGCAAACTACCGTATTTTTTGCTCCATAAGACGCACCTGACCATAAGATGCACTTCCGTTTTCGGCGTCTGGGCATCCTGTTTTCGACCTCCAGGCACCCCATTTTTGGCCTCTTTGCATCCCGATTTGGCCTCCGCATGCCCCATTTTTGGCTTCCATGCAACCCATTTTCTCCCTCCACGAAAGACCAAAAACGGGATGCACGGAGGCAAAAAACTGAAGGGTGGGGGCCGAAGGGTGGGCGGGGCTTCGACAATATTTGCTCCATAAGACGCACAGACATTTCCCCCCACTTTTGGGAGACAAAAAAGTGCGTCTTACGAAGCAAAAAATACAGTAGTTCAGTTGATTGCTTGGCTGTCCGCTGAAAAAGCAGAGAAAAGGGGAAGGAATACACATATTTGAAGCTCTGTCTAGTCTTCTTCCAGACCATCCATTCTGCATTTCTTGTCACACATTCGTTTTGTTTTGTTTTTTTTAATTATACCATTTTATTTAACTAAGGCTTATCCGTGCCAAGCGCTTCTGAAATTCAGCTGGAAAGTCGAAAAAATGGTCTCTTGGGTACATGTTCAAAGGCTGCAAACTCAAGAGGTTCAAAAGTGGTAAAGCCAAAACAGAGATTTGACATCTTGCTGGACCTACCGAATTATATTTTGCCACACAACTGTCTTAAATCTGGACTTCTTTTCAAAACAAACAAACAACCAAAAAAAAAAAAAATCAAGGGATTTCAAGAACTGTAAAATCCAATTCTGAGAGCTGAACTAACTTGGCCAGAGTAGGAAAAAAAACTTGCATCTCCTATAAAGTTGATATAGAAGTAGCTGGATCCCTGTGCTTCACTAGGAAACTACAAGCTTGAATCCTCCCCTATCCTCTCCCCTTCTCTCCCTCAGACTTGCCCCACAGAAACATCTCCTATCCTATCCCCTTCTCTCCCCCAGGCTTTCTAGCCCCTTCTCTCCCTGAGGTTTGCCTCATAGAAGCCTCTCCTCTCCCTCAGGCTGGCCCCACAGAAACATCTCCCATCCTATCCCCTTCTCTCCCTCAGGCTTTCTAGCCCCTTCTCTCCCTGAGGTTTGCCCCATAGAAGCCTCTCCTCTCCCTCAGGCTGGCCCCACAGAAACATCTCCCATCCTATCCCCTTCTTTCCCTCAGGCTTTCTAGCCCCTTCTCTCCCTGAGGCTTGCCCCACAGAAGCCTCCCCTATGCTATCCCATTCTCTCCAGAGTTATTTTCAAGTTGGGAGGGGGAGTAGAACGTCTAACTAATTAGCACCAGAGAGTCTTAATAATAATATAGGAAATACTATTGCTCAGATGGTCATTTCGAAAAATCCTTTCTTAGTGAAGAAAGAAAGCCTAGAAGCCAAGAGGAACATACATGGCAAATTTCAAGTTTGTGGGCTTTACGGTTCTGGAGATTTCGTGATTAATGTGTGAGTGGTTCTCGCTTTTATAGAGAGAGAGATTTAGAAGATTTTTAAAAGTTTAAAAGAATACGAAAAGCTCAAGGGAACAGAATAGAAAAAAATTAGAAGTGCAGGTCATGACTTACGTTATAACTTTATATACATCTTCCAAACAGACAAGCAAGGATGCAATTAATTTGAGGATTATTTTTGAGAAATCAGTGGATACAGTCCAGTGTTACGTATATCTTAATAATGGAAATGTATTTCTAAAAGAGAGATCACTCTGTAAACCAGGGGTCTCCAACCTTGGCCACTTTAAGACTTGTGGACTTCAACTCCCAGAATGGCTGAGGAATTCTGGGAGTTGAAGTCCACAAGACTTAAAATGGCCAAGGTTGGAGACCCCTGCTGTAAACCTTTGTGAATGAAGAAAATCCAGTTCCTCGGTATCTAACGTTGCCTCTTCTTAAACGAGCAAACGCGATTGTCCGGGTACAGTTGGCTACTTGCAGGTAGTACTTAAACACTGTCTCTCCAAGGCATGTAGAAAACCTGGGAGTAGAAAGCAAGAGAGAGAGAGAGAGAAGGAGAGAGAGAGAGAGGCGAACCCAGAGCCAGCCTTGCTGAGCAAGGCGGTGAACTTAGGCTACGCTACCACTGACATTTACAACTTGGTCTGGATCACGGAGTGCACCGCTCGGATGTGAACGCTGGGCAGGCATAACCAGGACGGGGGAAACTCCTTGCTCGAGTGGCCTTCGTGAAACTTGATGTTCAGGTAAAAGTCTCCCGTGCAGAGAAATAGAAGCGCCCCGACACACATGGAGTTTTCGGTCGGCTTCACCTGAAAGAAAAAGGATGGGAGAATGGGAGCAGAGTCAGACAATGCAAAATATAGGAATCATGTGTGTGTTTGTGCACGTGCGTGCGTGTATTTGGTTTCTCCATCCTAGTGTTGTGGCCCACCAGCGGCCAGCAGAGCTGGCAGCAGATTCGGCCAGTAAGGAGGTTGGGGAGGAACATGGGCCAGTCCTGGAGTCTAGGCATCCATCCTACAAAGCACAACCATACAATTCCTCATGCTTGTCAAGGAGGAGACCCAATTAATTTACCCAGTTGGTAGAAGGCTAAGTGGAGGCCATTTTATCTATGGGAAAGATAAGCACACAGGGGTAGGGACGCGGTGGCTCAGTGGCTAAGTTGCTGAGCTTGTCGATCAGAAGGTTGGCAGTTCAGAGGTTCAAATCCCTACTGCCGCATAACGGAGTGAGCTCCCGTTACTTGTCCCAGCTTCTGCCAACCTAGCAGTTCAAAAGAACGTAAAAAATGCAAATAGAAAAATAGGGACCAGCGTTCCGTGCGCCTTTGGCGTTGAGTCATGCCGGCCACATGACCACGGAGACGTCTTTGGACAGCGCTGGCTCTTCGGCTTTGAAACGGAGATGGGCACTGCCCCCTAGAGTCGGGAACGACTAGCACATATGTGCAAGGGGAACCTTTACCTTTACCTATACAAAGGGCGTATTGATTTTGTTTTATACTTTGTTATTTTTATTGGTGGTGTAAAACATTCTGGTGTTAAACAAAGTGGAGGATAAAGTTAAAAAAATGTAAGCAAGCAAGCAAGCAAGCAAACAAATCCATGCTTTTTTTAAACAGTGAAATGTGAGGAATTCCAAAGTCCTTTCAAAGAAATTTTTGAATAAAATATCACAGAACGCCACTGGACGCTCCTTTCTTTACCGTTTTAACTTTGGAGACAGACTAAATACGATCCAGCACGGACTTACTGTGTCGATATAAAAGGTGTTGGAGCCAACAAAAGAGATGCCATCTTGGAGATCGTAATTGTGGACGCCGTTTTGATAATCTTGGTAGGGGATCACAGTGAGGGAGAAGGGTCCGACGTTGTGCTTGCTCCAATTGGTCAGTTTCACTTCGAGCTTCACTGGATCCCCGACGGTGCAGTCTGCTACAATATCTGAGTCACAGGGTTTTCCTTCCACCAACACGTCTGGAATACAAAAAGAGACAGATGGAGGGGTGAATGCGTTTTGCTTCGAGAATGTGAAATCCTAGAATAGAATAGAATAGAATAGAATAGAATAGAATAGAATAGAATAGAATAGAATAGAATAGAATAGAATAGAATAACAGAGTTGGAAGGGACCTTGGAGGTCTTCTATTCTAGGCCCCTGCTTAGGCAGGAAACCCTAAACCATGCCAGACAAATGGCTGTCCGATCTCTTCTTAAAAACTTCCAGTGTTGGAGCATTCGCAACTTCTGGAGGCAAGTTGTTCCACTGAACAATTGTCAGGAAATTTCTCCTTAGTTCTAAATTGCTTTCCTCCTTGATTAGTTTCCACCCATTGCTTCTTGTCCTGCTTCAGGTGCTTTGGAGAATAGCTTGACTCCCTCTTCTTTGGGGCAACCCCTGAGATATTGGAACACTGCTATCATGTCTCCCCTAGTCCTTCTCGTCATTAAACTAGACATACCCAGTTCCTGCAACCGTTCTTCATATGTTTTAGCCTCCAGTCCCCTAATCATCTTGGTTGCTCTTCTCTGCACTCTTTCTAGAGTCTCAACATCTTTTTTACATCGTGGCTACCAAAACTGGAGGCCTTTTAAATGTAATGCCTTTTGCAAACTGAAAGGAAGCAAGTTGCAACCAGAAATGAATACCACAGTAGAGGTAGTCCTCCAGTTACAACAGTCGATTTAGTGACCAAAGTTACAACAGTACTGAAAAACCCTACTTGAGTCGGCCGTGGCAAGTTGGCCATTCGGTTGAGGTAAAAACCTGTTAGTCAGAAAAGAAAGGCTTTTCTTTTTACTAAGGCTTGAAATCCTTGCCTTCACAAATTGTGGGAGCTTCATCACTGGAAGCTTTCAAGAAGAGACTGGACTGTCATCTGTCAGAAATGGTGTAGGGTCTCCAGCTTGGGCAGGGGGTTGGACTAGATGACCTACAAGGACCCTTCTGACAATCTGTTAAAAAGATCCTGATAATAATAAACATCCATAACTAGCATCTTCTGTAAAGTGGTAAAAGTTTGGCATTTTACAACATGTTTACAATTTTCACCCCACATCTTTATTAGTATGAAGTTATACTTTATTTTATTTTTTGTTAATTTATTTTTATTTTTATTTCTCATAAACATACTTAAATGTACAGTCTCTTATCCATTGTTAATCATACATATTATCTTTTGACTTTTATATTAGTTCATTCTTCATCCTAAAAAAATAGGGTATATTCAAATAGGAATATACCCTATTTTTTTAGGATGAAGAAGTTATACTATCCTAATGTTCAACCAAAATGTTGGAGATGTGATTGTTTAGATGCTACATATTTCATATATGGTGGACTTGTAAGAAAGTGAAGGCTTTTTGGATAAAAATTTGGTGGGTTATGCAAAATGTCTTGAAGAAAAAAATCCAATTCTCTCCTCAATTGTTTTTATTGGGTATAGTTAAGGGCTTTTCACTGGGTGAAATAAAATTGATATTGACAGCAGCTAGGTTACTGATTGGTCAATATTGGAAGAGGGATGTTATGCCTACTATTGAAGAATGGACTTTGAAGATGGCCAGTTTTGCAGAAATGGCGAAGGTATCAGCATACCTAAAAGACCGGACTCAGGAGACTTATGCATGGGAGTGGAAGAAATGGATAGATTACGTGCAGAATAAATATCAAACTAGGAAGTATCAGATAGCTTTTAGCTGAATGTTGTGTAAGAATGTATAGTATATAGGGGGTAGAATAGTTGAATGTCATGTAGAAATGTATAGTACACAGGGGGTAGAATAGAGGGGCGGTAAAGTATGATATAATATGATTTGGATTTGATCCTGGGGAAGTCATGGGGGGAGGGGAGGGTTAGGGAGGGTTAGGGAGGGAAAGGCGGGGGGGAAATGGGAAAATTTGTATTTGTAAAACTTTTTCAATTAAAAAAAAAAAAGAAGTTATACTTTTATTGAGGTATGGGTTTTAAACGAGAAACCAACATCTTTCATTAATTCTTCGTAACGGAAAACATCTGAATTCACCTAGGCATTTGTAATGTATTTTTTCCTCTTTCATTATTGTTAAATTGGTATCATTTAACAGGTGAAGAATCCGTAGGAATCTAAACAAACTGACCGACAAATCACAACACGTATCCACTGCCTGACAGAAATGCAACTGATAATAATGGCGGGATGTTCGATTTAATCTTGATTAGGCAGCAAACTGCAGTTAATTCAAAATAGTATTCATTAGTAAAAAATACGTACAGGTGTTGCCAGCGGGGATAACATTTTAAAATATATACCCATTTTTTAAAATTATTATTATCATGATCAGCTCTTCCCGAATGACACAAAAGAGTTTAGGTATCCTTAACACCTTCAAATCCTCATCAACTGACAGAGCCGTGAAAAGGTCAGAAACATTCATTTTGGGTAGATTAATTTAGCAATAACAAGCCTCAAATCAACCGGGTCAACTTTCTTCATTTATTTCATCACATTCTTGCTTCAACCTCTCCTCTCTGTTATTTTTAGTTTTGTCAGTAGAAACCATTTGAGCTAAACCTAATATTTTGTCACTGTCACAAGCCCTCCCAGCTGCCTCTGTTTGTGCATGACAAATCGCCCCAAAGATCTCACCACAGCTTGGCAAAAAAAAACCCAAAAAACCCTGTTCCTATTCATGCCAGTCGTACATTTTTCAGAAATAAAAAGAGAGAGGGCCGTTGAATAGAAAACCTTTACGAATGAAGAAGAGGACTGCAAATGAAGTGTTCCTTTGTGCATGTGTTCGACACATCTCGGGCTTCTCTGCCGAGACATTTCCGGCAAAGTAAATTTTCCGGTTCTCTTGGCAAATCAAGGCAGGGGTAATTAGCAATCACACATTGAGCTCATTCCAAGGAAAATATGGATGTCGCCAGGAGAATAGGCTGATGGAAAGAACACATGATGGCTGTCAAACGCCGGAGAAATCAGAAGATTCGGGCAGTTCAAATGAGGATAAAGATTTATTGCAAGCTTAAGCGCTCTACAAGAATCTGACCAACTAACCGTCAAGGGAAATGCACGGGAGATAAGAAAAGCAATCAAGGAGAGCTGGACTTACAGATCTGTTGCGGGCACGCAGGGACTCGTGACTTATGATGTGCTTGACCCCTCCATCGGGCTCAGCCTGGTAATTCCCTTACAATGGCTGGGTTAGTGCTAAGAAAAAGCTTTCTTTAATTTCTCCAATCTTTTCGGTCCAAAGTTTGGGATCAGGTCTCTTATTCCGCTCATCCAGCACTTTACCCATAATTAACAGTAACAGATTTAACGGATTAACAGAATTGGACCTTGTAGGTAATCTAGTCCTAGCCCTATCCAAGCAGGAGACCCTACACCATTTCTGACAGATGGCAGTCCAGTCTCTTCTTGAAAGCTTCCAGTGATGGAGCTCCCACAACTTCTCACAATAAGGAGAACTCAGGAAAGTTCTCCTTATTTCTGGGTTGAATCTCTCCTTCATCAGTTTCCATCCATTATTCCTTGTCTGGCCTTCAGGTACTTTGGAAAATAGGTGGACCCCCTTCCTCTCTGTGGCAGCCCCTCAAATATTGGAAGACTGCTATCATGTCTTCTCTGGTTCTTCTCTTCACTAGACTAGCCATGCCTAGTTCCTGCAACCGTTCATCATATGTTTTAGCCTCCAGTCCCCTAATCATCTTGGTTACTCTTATCTGCACTTTTTCTAGAGTCTCAACATCTTTTTTATAGTGTGGTGACCAAAACTGGATAACAGTTGGAAGGGACCTTGGAGATCATCTAGTCCAACCCCCTGCTCTCGCAGGAGACCGATACTATTTCTGATAAATAGCTGTCCAACAACTTCCGTAGGCAATTTGTTCCATTGGTTAATTGTTCTCACAGGTAGGAATTTTCTTCTTATTTCTAGATTGCTTTTCTTCTTGGTTAGTTTCCGTCCATTGTTTCTTGTCCTGCCTACAAGTACTTTGGTAAACAGGTTGGCCCCCTCTTCCTGGTGGCAGCCCTTGAAGTATTGGAAGACTGCTATCAAGTCACCAGTGGTCCTTCTTTTTACTAAACTAGGTACAGTATATCCAATTCCAGCAATTGTTGTTTGTATGTTTTAACTTTTTCTTCTTGTTGTTGTTAGTTGCGAAGTCGTGTCCGATCCATCATGACCCCATGGACAATGTTCCTCCAGGCCTTCCTGTCCTCTACCATCCTCTGGAGTCCATTTAAGCTCACGTCTACTGCTTCAGTGACTCCATCCAGCCACCTCATTCTCTGTCGTCCTCTTCTTCTTTTGCCCTCAATCTTTCCCAGCATTAGGCTCTTCTCCAGTGAGTCCTTCCTTCTCATTAGGTGGTCCAAGTATTTGAGCTTCATCTTCAGGATCTGGCCTTCTAAAGAGCAGTCAGGGTTGATCTCCTCTAGGACTGACTGGTTTGATCGCCTTGCAGTCCAAGGGACTCGCAGGAGTCTTCTCCAGCACCAGAGTTCAAAGGCCATGGTCCAACTTTCACAGCCATCCATTGCAACTGGGAAAACCATCGCCTTGACTATACGCACTTTCATTATAATTTTTGCTGCTCTTCTCTGAACTCTTTCCAAAGCCTTGACATTTTTATCTTTTTCATTAACATTAAAGTTGATAATGGCAGAAGGCTTAATACCGGTATCAGATATAGAATTTAGATAGTTCACTGGTCTCCAGTCCTTACGTTGTATCTGCAATGGGACAGTCCAATGAAGGGTAAACTCACACTCTTCCCTTTTCCTCTGGTGGTGTACCACACCTCCTCTCTATGTGTCCATGAAAAGCCTCCCGATTCTCACATCCAATTAAAATGTAAAAGGTCACAAGACAGAAACTTCAGATCGGAGAAATTGATTTCATCTTTCCCACAGCCAATTAGTCTACGATTGATTTAGGGTTTGTATGCCGTAGAGAGATTAATTATTTCCTGAACGCAAAACCT